TTTATTCAAGGTGGATTCCATCCAGACTCTCAGTGGTTTTCCCATTGTCCCGGCAGGGTAAAATTTAGAATACCCTTTGCAGTCAGGCCCCTGCTGACTTTCATTCTCTCCGAACAATTCGGATTCTTGGGACTTTGTACCTTCTTTGTTTTCTCCCTAGAATATGCATGTTGTCAACTTCACTGCTTTCCCATCATACCCACAGACATCCCTCTTCTAGCCAATTTCTAGTTCTCCCTTGGGGCCCCAGTAGACTCCTCTTTTTCTAACTTCCATCCCTACCTATAAGGTCGTCCAGTGTTAATGCACCCCCCCCCCTGCCAAGTTATAGGCCCTCTTTCTGCTCTGTGATGCATGTCATCTGGGCCTGGTCTCAGAAACAGCATTCTGTCTGGGGCAGACCTGACCATAGTTAGGAAAATAAAACGAGAGAGAGAGAGAAAGAGAGAGAGAGAACCACTGTGTGGTTGTGATCACCTGTGTTTTCTTCTGCCCCCAGAGCTCTAAACCCTTGAGAGTTGGAGCGTGCTGTGCTGTATCTGTTGGGTACATTGCATATCCAGTTCCTACCCTGGTGCCTGGCAGGCGGGAGAGCTGAGGTGTGCTCTGAAAGAATGTTTGAAGGGAACTGCCTAGGGGAGTCAGGAATGTGACTGCTGGGAAATCCAGTCAGAGCAATCACACCTGCTTTTCCAGGACCTTTCTCCTAGAAGTTAAGGAGCCATAGGTCCTAGGAGGGCTATATGCCTGACATTAAAAGGAAAAATATCCTTTCTCCTACTCCTCAGCTGCAATTCTGGGTTGGCTGCAGAAAAAGAAAAACTGAACCTGGGAAACTTGGAAATCTGGTCGATCAACTGATTAAGCTTTGGATTACCTCCGCTCTAGATAAACCCTTGATGTGACTTTTTGTTTTTCTCATAGGTCAGCTGAGGGAACAGCTCAGTTACCTTAAGGGCGATAACTTTTTCAGGTTTACTTGCTCTGACTGCTCGGCAGATGGCAAGGAACAGTACAACAGGCTGAAGTTGACATGGCAGCAAGTGAGTACAAAGCTCCTCTCCAGAACTCTTGGGTTGGGTGGCCCAAGAAGTGGTTGGCATGATTATCCGGAGTAAGGAAACCTACAGGTGAGCTTTTTAGTGGTTTGGGGCAGAGTGCTTTATATTTCTCAGTGAAAATCTGGTACAGAGTATGTGGAAAGAGAAGTTCTTTAAAAAATACAAAAGCAAAACCAAAAAATTTGCTGCTAACTTAGTGACATGGATTCTTGATTATTGAAAATCTGACATGATTTCTTTTATGTCTTATCAAGCTCTGACTTTAATTGCAAACGAAGCTTACATTTTTCTGGCAGCCATTTCTGGCCTAGTAAAACCAGAAGTGGCTCCATTGGAAATGGATTTGGAAATAGTTTGACTAGATTGCAAAAAACAATACAACTTAGCCTTTCTGCAGTTGAACTTGGAGACACTTGTTTTTTTTTTTTTTTTAAGGCAGGTTTCCTTGTAGCCCTGGCTGGCCTGGAACTCGCTGCGTAGACCAGGCTGACCTCAATCTCACAGAGAGCTGCCTGCCTCTGCTTCCTGAGTGCTGGGATTCCCATGTGTGGTACCGCGCCTGGCAGGAGACATATTTTTTGTTATGTATACTTTATATCTATTTTTAGCTTAGTGGTATCAAATACCAGAACTCTAATTGGCATCTTTTATTGCTCTCTGTTTTTTTTTTTTTTTATTTTTTGTCTTTTTGAGACAGGGTCTCTCTGCAGCCCCAGCTGGCCTGAAACTCAGTGTCTAGACCCTTGATCTCACAGAGATCCACCTGCCTCTGCTTCCCAAGTGCTGGGATTAAAGGTATATGCTACCACACCTGGCTGGGTTATATATTTTTTTTTTTTTTATGTACACATATAATAAATTGCCAGGGTACATCCAGCCCTTATGTTCAAAAAATGAACTTTACATTATTCACGGGTTTTATTTATTTTTTAATTTTTTGTTAATTTTTATTTCTTCCTGTATTTATGAGTGTTTTGCTTGTGTTTATGTTAAGTATACCTGTGTCCTGCAGTGCCTGTGGAGGCCAGAATAGGGCTCTGGATCCCCCTGGAACTGGATGGAGTTAGGGCCTGTGGGTACTAGGAATTAAACCTGGGTCCTCTGTAAGCATAGCCAGTGCTCTTAACTCCTGGTTCTATTTATTGATGTTTCTAATACTGAGGATCAAACTTATGGCCTTGCTTATATTGGCATGTACTCTACCATTGACTTGTGTTCCCAACCCTGTGGGTTTTTATTTAACACACAATGAGTGCCTATTGTGACCCCCACTGTAGGGTGGGGTTGTACAAGTCTCCACCCCCAGGCTGCTGACATTCCACACTTGTTTTAGATAATAAACAGATAAATATGATAATTACCCTGGCACTTTTTGCTTTGAAGAAAATAAACAGTAAAGAGAAAGATTTTAGGTTGTACTGTTTTGGCTACTTCTTCTCTCATGTAAACTGCAGTTGCTGTAGCACCTGAGACTGTTGTCCTAATCATTAGTGCTTGGAGCTGGAAAGATGGCTCTGTGGTTAAGTACACTGGCTGCTCTTGAAAAGGACCCGAGTTTGATTCCCAGCACCCATGTGGTAGTTAACAATCTTCAGTAACTCCAGTTACAGGGGATCCAATGCCCTCTTTTGACTTCTGCAGGCATTGTATGACACGGGTGCACTTCATACATGCATTCAGTACTCATACACATAAAATACATGTGTATATATAAAATACTTATCACCAATACTTGATTAGAACATCGCATGGAATCTGCCAGTGTGAACCCAGGAAGCCTTTTTTGACTTGCCAGAAACACAAGAAAGTAGAAAATGAAGAAAGTTCACATTGAGAATGTACTTGGAACGTTACATTTGGGGTATATTTCTCAGTGTAAATGGGATACTGTGTGTAGGCCAGACATATAATGACTAAGAGAATTTGAAATACTTAGGCAGATTTATATTTGACCTCTGAATAGCTTCTAATAAAAGCTGTAAAATGGAAGGAAAGTAAATATAATTGGTCATTTTTCAGGAATGTTAGTTGTATGTAGAAAAGTTTTCTGTAAATTTTTAGGTCTTACTTTTTGAAGTGTGTGTCGGGGGGGTGTGCAATGTACAGTTGTCCATGGAGGCCAGAGGAATTGGATCCTCTGGAACTGGAGTTACAGGCAGTTGTAAGCTGCCTGATAGGGGTTCTGGGAGCCAAACTCCAGTCCTCTGCAAGAGCAGTATGGGTTTTGAACTGCTGCTCCTTCTCTCTGTAAACATTGTGTTTTAAAAGAAAACCTTGTTTTTTTGTTTGTTTGTTTTTGTTTTTGGTCTCTTTTTGAGACAGAGTCTCCCTGTGGCCCCAGCTGTCCTGAAACTGCTATGTAGACCAGGCTGGCCTTGAGCTTACCAAGATCCGCCTGCCTCTGCCTCCACGGTACTGGGACTAAAGGCATGCGCCACCACGCCCGGCAGTGAAAACCTTGTTTTTTATTATATCACTCAGAATATGTAATATTGGCCCAGCTTACAAATTTAATCAGGTTAGTATCACTTGAGTTTTTTTTTTTTTTTTTTGGTCTTTTTGAAACAGTTTCCCTGTAGTCCCAGCTGGCCAGGAACTCACAGAGATCCAACTGCCTGTGCCTCCCAAGTGCTGGGACTACAGGGGTGTACTACCATGCCCAGCTGAGAAATATTTTTTCACTCCTAAAAAACATGTTAACTGTCGTTAGCTCCCTTAGGAAGAAGTGATAATGTAGATCACATATCTTATTCTCACATCAGTGTTTCTAGTTACATCTGCAAAAACCCATCAGGAACCTGGAAAAAAAATGGTATAAATAATTAGAACATTGGAAATTGCCATATATATATATAATTATTATTATTATTATTATTTTTTTTTTTTGTCTTTTTGAGACAGGGTCTCCCTGTAGCCCCAGCTGGCCTAGAACTCAGTATGTAGACTAGGCTGACCTCAAATTTGCAGAGATCTGTCTGCCTCTGCCTCCCAAGTGTTGGGATTAAAGGTATGTACCACCATGCCCGGCTTCTCTCTTTTTAAATCTTAAACTTTGTATTTGTTCATTTATTGAAAATGCTTGTAACACGTAGTATTTTCTTTATATTACAAAATACCAACAGTAAAGAAGTCTGCCCTTTGGACTGAAAGATTCTTTCCCTTTATACCTCTTTTTTTATATCTCCTCTTCTTCCTTCTGGGTGACTCTACAGAAAACATTTGGCATAGAGGAGAAACTTTATCAAACATCTGGGAAGGATAGAGAGCTTGCAGTTCTTGTATGGTGGATTCATTCTTATGACACAGGTGAAGAATTGGGGGGTATGTGCTCATCTTTCTGGGTTCTTCAGCAAATAGTTCCTGAGTGTCTGCTGTGGCTACAGTCTGAAGTAGGCCCTGGAGAGACTGGTCCACAAGAGTAGCTTCCTTGGTCTGGTGCAGAGAGAACAGAAAATGAACCCAGTATTTATGCCTTCAGATCACATATTCCAGAAGAACAGTGGGTCCTTTCTAGAAAGGGTATAGTTTAATTTAGTGACAACAGAAAGGCTGTTTTCAAGCAGATAACCTGTAATTCATGAAATATATTTTTAAAAATATTTATGTGTATGGATGTTTACGTGTATGTTTGTACACTACATGTGTGCCTGGTGCCCACAGAGGCCAGAAAAGGGCATCAGATCCTTTGGAACTGGAGTTACAGATGGTTGTGAACCACCATCTGAGTGCTGGGAACCAAACCTGTTTCATCTACAAGAGCAACAAGTGCTCTTATCCACTGAACCATCTCTCCAGCCCCTCATGGAAAAATCTTAAACATACTGAAAACTACTGAAAATAAAATATCAGGCAGGTCTCTGTGGTTGAGAATAACAATGATACATGTTTCTGAGTAGGAGTCTTGTCTGTGGAATGATGACCTTTCCTTTAAATGTGGTAGGAAATACAGAACATAAGATTTGCCATTTTTCATTGTTCAGTGCTGTTACCTACATCCATGTGCAACCACCACCATCTTTAAGAGCGTTTTTATCTTCCCAAACTAAAACTTTATGCCATTAAATGACTCCCTGTGAACATCAACTGCTTAAAGGAAGTCATTTGTTGGCTGATGTTGCCCTAATGCAAAAAGAAGTGGAAAGCATTTGAAAAATCAGTTTGTGCATTTTAAGCATGGGGGAAGTTGAAACTCAGTGAAGCTGTTCCCTGGTCCATTTGCGTTGTGTGGACATAGTTCTTCTTGAAGGATCACTGGGGATTTAATGTGGTAAACATGGAAGTTGGTGGCACTGATTGCTGTTTACCAACTGCAGACAGCTGAGGGAGGCTCCTTGTGGAAAGAAAGATTATTTAAGAATTTTTTTCTTAAGCTGGGCATGGTGGCGCACACCTTTAGTCCCAGCAGAGGCAGGTGGATCCCTGAGTTCAAGGCCAGACTGGTCTATATAGTGAGTTCCAGGCCAGCAGGGGCTATAGGGAGACCCTGTCTCAAAAAGAACAAAACAAAACAAAAACGAAACAAAAAAGAATTCTTTTCTAGCTTCTCTGCTCTTTTTTCAGTTTCCTTAACCCAATGTAAGTTACGATTTTTCTTTTAAGTAGAAAACATGGTTTTGAGTAACTTTTGCAGTTTTGACCATCTATATAAAATCATGTATCTGCATAAATATAGATAAAAGCATAGTCACTGAGATGTTAAAAAAGGTTGTTTAATTTTCCTGTTATTTTTTTGTTTTTGAGGCAGCATCTCATTGTGTATCCCAGGCTGGTTTTGAACTTACAATCTTGCCTCAGCCTCCTAAGTACTATGATAATAGGTACTCTACCATCCATACTAAAAGTGCTGCTTTTATATGAACTTTAAGTGTATTTTATTTTATTATTTATATATGTGTGTGTGTGTGTCTGTGTGTTGGTATATGCACCAGTCTGTGTACTGGTGCCCATGGAGGCCAAAGGAGTGTTGTATCCCCTGAACCTGGAGTTTGGTGATTGTAAGTCACCTGACGTGGGTGCTGGAACTGAACTCGGGTCCTGTTGAACAGCAAGTACTCCTAGCTACTGAGCCATCTCTCCAGCCCCAAGTACTTGTTTCTTGATGGTGAACCTCAGATATTTTTCACTTCCTTCTTTGCTCTTTTTTTATGTTATTAAAGTCTTTTACACTGGGATATGTGGGGGCTGGAGAGATGGCTCAACATTTAAGAACATTTGCTGTTCTTCCATTGGACCCAGGTTCAATTCCCAGCACCCACATGGAGGCTAACAACAGTCCAGGGGATCCAACACCCTCTCTGGCCTCCATGGACATTGCAAACACATGGTACACTTAAATGCATTCAGGTAATACACTTATACACATAAAATAAAAATAGTAAATTTTTAAAAAAATGGCGTGTGTTATTTATACTCCTGGAAAATACTTCCTCACAAGAGACCCCAAATCCTCGTCTGTAAAGACAACAAGGTTGGACTAGATAGTGTCTTGCATGGTGTTTTGGAGCCTGTGAGTAGGCTGTGCAGCCAGGCCTTTTGGTTCCCTGTCTAATGAAAGATTTCTACTGTCATCCATGTCTATGTCAGTAGTAGATACCTCTTCAACTCTGAAATTCAGAGTCTTGCCTTTACACCCCATAAAAAACTTAGAAAGCATATATTCAGAAATGATTTTCAAAATATTTTGTAAAGATAGCACCACCAATCAGAAAATGTTGGCTCGGGTAGGTACTGAGAGACTGCTGCTATCCAGCAGCTAATTCCTTTGTTTAGGACTGCTTTGTATGGGGATGGGGTGCTGTGACAGTACCTCCTGATCAACCTGTGTTGTAACCATCAGCTCAGCCACACACCAGCCTTTCATTTGTGACATATAAAGATGTCGCAAAAAGCAAAAAGGAAGTAAGGTTCTCTGCCCCAAATATTCTAGGATCTCTTCCTTCTGTGTCCGCTCCATTCCCAGCATTCCCCTCCAGATGAACCCCCTCCTCAGGCTGCCCTCCCAGCCCTTGTTCATTTGCATTTCAGGTTGTCATGTTGGCAATGTACAATTTGTCCCTGGAAGGCAGCGGGCGCCAAGGATATTTCAGGTGGAAAGAGGACATCTGCGCTTTCATTGAGAAGCACTGGACTTTCTTACTAGGAAATAGGTAACTCGATGTTTAAAAATCTTAAACTTGAAGAAAGATGTAAAGAAAAATAAGTTTGAGAGCCTAATGTAGCCCTGATGGAGATTTACAGAATTTATTTGTGGTAATTTACAGTTTTTGAATTTCAGAAGCCTTTTCACTCTTTTAAACAAAACTTGTTTATGAAAATTGAGAGGGATGTGTTGACCATAAAATATGCGTTTTCATTAGTTCCTTTACTGTGCTAGCAGAAGAAAGTGTTCTTATCACACATGATGGTTAATTTGAGGCAACAGGATTATGATGTCCTTCTGAAATGACATAGGAGGTCAGAAGACAAGCAGAAAGGGCAGTTAAGGACTGCACCCATTAAGAACGTCTGTTAGTTATTAGGTTATTTTCCTTATTAACTCTGGAGGGTATACCGTGCATTTAGTTCACAGTGCTTAGCAAAGTCTCTGCATTAACATGTATATGCTCATTAAGTGCTCATTACATAATTGTGCTCTGAGTTTTGCTAAGCACCCCTCCTTGCTGGGTGCATTGGCTTCACTGGAGTTAGGGATTACAGGAGACTTAGGCCTGCACAAACTATGAGACCAGCTGTGCTATTAGGGACCAGTGTTTGCTGCTCCTTGGTGATTTTTGTGTTTTGTTTTGTTTTTGGAGACAGTCTTTCTGTAGCCCCAGCTGGCCTGGAACTCCCTATGTAGACTACGCTGGCCTCTATCTCACAGAGATCTTTCTACCTCTGTCTTCCAAGTGCTGAGAATAAAGGCATGGACCATCATACCTGTCCTACTTTGGTGAATTTTGAGATTCTGACTCCTTGATGCTTTCTGAGTTCCTGGGTGAGATTTCGTAAACTCTGTATAATTAGGTGAGCGTAGACAGTACAAGGGCTCTGGATCACTTTGGGGCAGAGCAGAGTTATAGCTGCCCTCGTTTGAACTCTGAAGCCTGGTTCCTTGGTGCTGAGATGTCAGCTCTGCCTAGGTTTCGAACAGGCAGAGAGAGAGAGAGAGAGAGAGAGAGAGAGAGAGAGAGAGAGAGTGAGAGTGTGTATGTGTGTATTTTCCTTTGTGGGAGGGTGAGCATGTGTGCATCTGTACGTGTGGAGGCCAGAGGTCAAGGAAGGTCATTCCTCAGGAGTTATCTACCTTGTGCCTCACTGGGACCTTCCAATCCATAATTAGGCTAGACTGGCTGGCCCATAAGCCCTGGGATGCCTGTCTGCCTCCTTGATGCTATGATTGGGAGTGGGCACTAACACCTAGCTTTCTTTTTTGTGTGGGTGCTAGGGATTGAACCCAGATCCTCCTACTTGTGCATCAAAATATTGCTGACTGAGCTACCGCCTCAGCCTCCAGAATATAACTTTGATAATAGTTTGAATACTTTCTTTTTATTTCACTGGTTTTAAAATGTACAACTTTAGCATTTTGACATTCTGGCAGCCTGATACATCTTACAACTAATAGTATGTCTTTTCTTTTTTCTTTTTTTGTGATAGGGTCTCCCTGTAGCCATAGCTGGTCTAGAACTACCTATGTAAACCAGGCTGGCCTCACTCTCACAGAGATTTGTCTGTTTCTGCCTCCCCAGTGCTAGGAGTAAAGGCATGTACCACTATGCCCGGCCCTCTCTCTATATATTTTAAGACAAGATCTCACTATGTAGCCCTTACTGACCTGGAACTCACAGAGATCCACTCTGCCTCCCAAGTGCTGGGATTAAATGTGTATGCCACTACGCTCAGCCTGTATGTCATAATTTTTTTGTAAGCAGGCATGGTGGCAGCCTGGTCTGCATAGAGAGTTCCAGGACAGCTGGGACTATAGGGAGACCTTGTTTCAAAACACCAAACAATAATAATAGTATTTTCGGGGGGGGGAGGGGGCTGGAGAGATGGCTCAGCAATTAAGAGCACTTGCTGCTTTTGCAGAGGACCCAAGATTGGTTTCTAGTACCCATATCAGGTGGCTTACAACTATCAGTAACTCGAGCTCCAAGGGATCTGGTTTTCCCTGAGCATACACACATACATATGGCAGATAGACACACACATACACATAAATTAAAATAAAATAAATACTTAAAATAGTAATAATTCTTTGTGGAGCTGGAGAGATGGCTCAGTGTTGAGCAGTGCTTCCTGCTGTTCCAGAGGACCCCACTTCAGTTCTCTGCACCCAGCTCAGGCAGTTCACAATTGCCTATAACTTCAGCTCCAGGGGATCCGATACCCTCTTCTGACCTCCATGGGCACACACACATGTGCACAGACATAAACACATGTATAAATAAAAAAATTTAAATCTTTTTAGTTTATTTTAAATTTTAAATCTTTTAAGTTTTAAAAAAGTTTATTTTTTATTTTGTGTGTATGAAGCATGCATGTAATTGCACCCATGTGCACTCCACATGCCTGTGGACGTTAGAAGAGGTTGTCAGATCCTTTGGAACTGGAGTTATGGACAGATGTTAGCTGCCATGTGGGTGCTGGGAACTGAACTCGAGGCCTCTACAAGAGCAGCCAGTGCTTTTAACCACTGAGCCATGTCTCCAGCCCCCTTAAATTTTTTTTTTAAACATTTATTTATTTTTGTTTTATTGAGACGGCCTCCCTGTACCCTCAGCTGCCTGGAACTCAGTGTGTAAACCAGGTTGACTGTGAATACAGATAGGCTTGGCTGGGTGGATTAAAGTGCTGGGATTAAAGATTTGTGCCAGCTTGCTCTTTTGTTTGTTTGCTTGTTTGTTTGCTTATTTGTTTGTTGTTGAGACAGGGTCTCCCTGTAGCCCTAGCTGGCCTGGAACTCACTGTGTAGACCAGGCTGGCCTTGAGTGCTGGGGCTAAAGGAGTTGGCCACCATGCCCAGCTATTTATTTTTATGTGTATGTGGGTATGCTTACATGAGTTCAGGTGTATCACCTGAGTACATGTGTGCAGGTATTTGAAGAGGCAAGAGGGCATTGGATCCTCTGGAACTGGGCTTACAGGTCCAGTGGTTAATAGGTGGTTGTGTGCCACCTGATATAGGTGCTGGGGAAAAAAAACAAAAGCAGTAAGCATCCAACTGCTGAACCATATCTCCAGCCCCGAAATAAAATCTTAAAAATAAATTTTTTTGAAAAGAAAGCTGTAAATTATTGTAAATGTATTAAATGAGCTTCTTAAACTTACCAACCCAGCTCAGGCCTTATTGAAAATCAGTGTGATAACACTGTAAAAAATGAGCTTTTTGTTTGGCAATTTAAATATGTCACAATTTAATTGGTAGCTGGCTAGTTCTTTCTTACTGTTACATAACTGGTGTATCTTAGTCAGTGGGTACTAGGTTTGATGGACTATGATAGAGCACAGTCATAGTAGTTACACTTAAGAAGACTATGTGAGGAAGATCCTGGGGCTGGAGTGGAGTAGGAGGCACCAGAAATCTGTCTCCCCACATACCACACTTTCACAGATAGAATTGGTTTCTCCTCTCATTGCAAAAGTGGGTCAAGTTAAAAAAGAAAGAAAAAAGTGGGTAAAGTAATTGAATAGACACTTCTCTAAAGAAGATATAAAAAGATGCTCAAAATCACTAATCATTAGGAAAATGCAGATCAAACTGTATTAACACCTCACACCTGTAAAGTAGGTATGAAAACAAGAGAAAATAAGGACAGGTGTGGTGATGCACAGCTTTAATCCCAGCACTTGGGAGACAAAAACAGGCATCTCTCTCTGAGTTCAAGGCCAGCCTGGTCTACCTACCAAGTTCCAGACCAACTAGGGCTATATAGTGAGACCTTGTCTCAACAACAACAACAAACAGGGCTGGAGAGGTGGTTCAGTAGACAAGAGTTCTTGCTTAAGAGCCCTTGCTACTTTTTGCAGAGGACCTGGGTTCAGTTCCCAGCTGCACATAGTAGCTCACAACCACCTGTGACTCCAATTCCAGGGTTTCAGGGAGTCTGATGCCCTCTTCTGACCTCTGTGAGCATTGCATGTACATGGTGCACATACATGCAAGTACACACTCATACACATAAAAAATATAAATAAAACTTTAAAAAGAGAGAAAATAGCTGAGCATGTTCATACATTCTCGTACTCCCACCACACCAGAGAATGAGGCAAGAGGATCATGAGTCTGAGACCAGCCAGAGGGTGTATAGAAGTTTAGGCAGCCTCAACTACATAGGGAAACCTTTCTCGATCAGTGAATAAATAACAAAACAGTAAATGACAGCTGTAATAGCACCCCTGCTCACCATTGATAGCATTGTAAAATTGTATACGCATACAGTATAGTGGGTCCTCAAAATTAAAATAGAATTATATCATCTAGTAGTTCTACTTCTGATACAGTAGTAAAATGTAGAAAGGATGCCTGTCCATCAACAGACAAATGTATAAACAAAGCATGATTTGTACATACAGTGGACTATTGTTCAGTCTTGAAAAGGAAAAATTCTGGCATGTGTTACAGTATGAATAAATCTTGAGGATCTTATATTAATGAACTAAGCCAGTCATCAGCATACTGTGTGGTGCCACCTGTATGCAGTTCTTAGAGTTTTGAAAATGCATAGGTATAGGAAGTAGAATGATGATTCTTAATGGCTGGGCAACAGGACAAAATTTGAGAGTTCTTTATTTAATGAGTCTGTTTTACACAATAAAATGAAGCTAGATGGTGGTAATGCTTGTAGAATATGAAATGTACTTAATGGCCACTGAACTGTGCGCTTAAAAATAATGAAGATAGTAAATACTTACTTTGCCACGATAAAAATTGGGTTCAGGGAGAGATGGCTAGGTGAAACACACACATAAAGTGTTTGTGTATGCGCCACAACAAATTCATTGCATTCTATACAGGTCGTATTTATGTTGTGACACCTTAGTGAAAGTACCACAGATGGATGTCTTTAACAACAGAAGTTGATGGCTTCCTAGTTCTGGGGCTGGCAGTCTGAAATCAGGGTGCAGATAGGGTGGAAGGGTCAGTTGTTCCTAGCATCTTAGTTTCACGTGTTCCTTCGTTTGTAGATGGCCTTCCTTTGTATCTTCACTTATCTTTCCTATGTGTGCTTCTGTCTCTGGGTCCACATTTCAGCTTTGTAAAAAGAGAGTGGTCGCAGCTGGGCAGATTTCCCATGCTTTTAATCCCAGAACTCAGGAGGCAGTGGCTGGTAGATCTCTCTTAAGTTCGAGGCCAGCCTGGTCTACATAGCAAGTTCCAGGCCAGCTAGGGCTGCATAGTGAGATCCTGTCTGAAAAAAAACAAAACAAAACAATTGTGATCACGGGCATAATGGCTCAGTCGATAATCCCTGCTGCCAAGCCTGTTGACCTGAATTTGATCCTTGAGACCCACGAGGGAGAAGGAAAGAACCAGCTTCTCAGAGTTGTCCTCTAATTATCCTCTGCTCTACACACACAATGAGTAAATACATAAAATGTCATTAAATACATATCTCTTGTACTGGGTTAATTAATTCCAACCTAATGATGCCATCCTAGCCTGGTCTTCCTGAGGCGGCAGCTCCCAAGTAAGTTTCTTGCCAGGTCCTGGGGATTAAGAGTGAATGTTTTTTTTGTGGGAGAGGCTCAATTCAACCCACACCTCTGCATCAATTTTATCAACTTTTAGATTATTTTCAGTTTTTTTTCCCCATTTGAATCAAACTTGTAAAGAATAATCTTGTGTGTATATCCTTTATATTTGATTTCTGGGTTCAGGGGATACAATTATGAAAAATGTCTTATGAAAGTAACCCCTAGCCAGGCATGATGGTATATATCTTTAATCCCAGCACTCAGGAGGCAGAGGCAGGCAGATCTCTGTGAGTTGGAGGCCAGCCTGCTTTACACAGAGAATTCCAGGCCAGCTGGGGCTATATATTGAGATCTTGTATCTAAAAGGGGGAGCAAGCTGGAGAAGTGACTCAGCAGTTAAGAGCACTGGCCGCACTTCCAGAGGACACAGATTCACTTCCCCGCACCACACATGGTGGCTAACAGCTTTCGAAAATAACTCTAGTTCCAGGGGATCCGATGCCCTCTTTTGGCATCAAGACATTGCACAACATGGGTGCACTGATAAAGCTTCAGGCAAAATATTCATAAACATAAAATTTTTTAGTCTTTTTAAAACAGGGTCTCCCTGTAGCCCCCAGCTGGCCTGGAACTTACTATGTAGGCCAGACTGGCCTCAATCTCACAGAGATTCTTCTGCCTCTGCCTCCTGAGTGCTGGGGTTAAAGGTGTTGTGCCACCATGCCCAGCCACAAATGATTTTTAAAATCTTTTGTGTGTCAGTATTTTTATTTATTGTTATTAAAAAGTATAACACACTGGATGTGGTGGCACATGCTTTTAATCATAGCTACATAGTGAGTTCTAGGTTAGCCAAGGCTACACAGTGAGACTTGTCTCAACAACTATCCCCGCCCGGCCCCACCATGAGCCTAACAACAACAAAAAATTGTCTGGGGAACTCTGTCATTGTGGTAAGTGTCTTATGTTTGGGTTACTTCACTTGATCTTCATATCCACCCTGTGAGGTAATTCTATTATCCTGGTTTCACAGATGAACCTGAGGCAGCTGAAAGGTGGCAGAGCCAATTCTTGAGGCCAGGCAGACTTCAGAACTGTTCCTGGATCCCTGTTCTCTGCTCCTTTACCCAGTGGAGCCTGTGTAGGTTCTCACAGCCAGGAGTCAGAGTCAGGAGAACACACATAGAATGTTCTTTCTGTATGGTGATACTGGTGTCAATAGTCTTAAAATTCTCTTGCTCTTTAGGAAAAAGACTTCGACGTGGTGGAGCACAGTAGCAGGCTGCCTCAGCGTGGGAAGTCCTGTGTATTTCCGCTCAGGTGCTCAGGAATTTGGAGAGCCTGGGTGGTGGAAACTGGTTCATAACCGGCCCCCAACCATGAGACCAGAGGGAGAGAAGATGTCTGCCTCCACTTTGAAAGTGAAAGGTAAAAAGAGCAGCTCAGAGACCCAGTGCCAGGAGAGTGGGAGACTCCCCGGCCTTAGCCTGGCCTCTGGAGTCTCAAGATCCCTGGAGGGTTTTATTTACTGTAAATACCATATAAAAACATTTGATCATTTCCTGATCTAGTTTTTATCATTTTCTCTGGTTTCTCTTCCATCTGTTTCCCTCCCTCCCTCCCTCCCTCCCTCCTTCCCTCTGTCCCTCCCTATCTCTGCAGTCCAGGCTGCCCTGGAATTTACTCTGTAACATAAGCTCGCCTCAAACTTGGACAGTCCTCCTGGGTGTTAGGACTATAGGCATGATCTGCCATACCTCATTTAAGAGATTCAGTGTTTTCAGTCTGATTTCCTTTTGACATTTTATTATGGAAATTTAAAAATACATGAAAGTGAAGAGCGTAGAACTGCCTTCCCTCACTTCAGCAGCAATCAGTGATCTCCCTTTATCCAGTTTTTCTGGGTGCCCCCCACCCTTGGCTTATTTAGAAGCAAACCTCGGGCATCTTTTTTTTTTTTTTTTTTTTA